TTATACCAACCTTAACCTTAACCCTAACGCTGGTCAAATTTCACGTGCTTTTAGCGAAATAACAAAAGAATACGTATTTCCTATTGGCACGTGATTTGTATTGCAGAAATAATTAAATCCAAGTGGTGTGATTTAGTTACGTAGTTCTTAAAAATAAATATGTAAAACAACATTTAACTTATAAACCTTTTATAAACTTTTTAAGATATTCTATTAAAGGTAATATATGTATTTTATGCATTACATTCCTTATAAATGATGACGGATGCACTTTCCATATCAAGATATAGATTTACGCTATATATTTAACTTAAACTTCATGTCAAAATAATTAACTTGAGTTATGTATTCTGTTTTTTAAGATCTCTCAGACTATATACATAGCAAAGGCTTGCTTTTTGGAATTTATTCAGATGCTGGAATGCAGACTTGTGGTCGCTATCCTGGATCAGCCGGTATTTATTTTATTTTATTTTTAACATTTAATTAGAATCTCTTAAAATATGTACTTATATAAGTAAAATTATAGGCCACGAAACAACAGATGCGGAAACATTCGTAGAATGGGGTGTTGACTATTTAAAGTATGATAATTGTAACAATGACGGAAGTCCTGAACAAGAACGTTACCAGGTAAATTATACATCAAAATAAACTTTTATTTTTAATATTAATGTTTATCTTCATTATTTAGCGAATGCGGGATGCGCTTACGTTAGCAACTAAAAACAATAAAACTCAAATTTTCTATAGTATCTGTGAATGGGGGTCAGATGATTTTCAAAATTTTTTAGTAAAAATATTATGCTTTGCTAAATTAGATCGAATACTAAATTTTATATTTTAATTGTTATATTAGGAGAAGTAAGCCTTGGTTGTGGGGACCTGGTGTCGGTAATAGGTAAGCATTCTTTTTAATGGTTCCAAAGCCTATTACCACATTATAATAAATTTGCATTGTGAACATAATAATTTATTTTTCACTTAATTTTAGTTGGAGAACTACTGACGATATTAAAGCGCCTAGGAGATCACCATCCTGGCAACGAATCTTATCGATAATAGATACGCAAGCAAACATTACTCAATATGGAGGACCAGGAGGTTGGAATGATCCTGATATGCTTGTAGTGGGCTTTGATACGATAACTTTCGATGAACAAGTAACCCATTATGCACTTTGGGCTGCTATGAAGGCTCCTTTAATACTCGGATGTGATGTAAGTTTTATTTTATTAATTGTTAATTTATAATCTTTTATAAAAATAATATCAATGTTTAAACTATACTATAGCTCAATAACATTACTGAAAATGCGAAAAACTTAATAAAAAATATTGATATAATTTCTGTGAATGTAAGTTTATCCTTTATTGTGAAGATATTTTCCTATTTTCTCATTAAAAAAATGTGGTTTAACCATGTTTAATTCTGTAAATAGCAAGATCCTCTTGGAAAGTCTGTATGTCTAGTTTACAACGGAACTAATAACGAGAGTTCTTTTAATATTTGGACCGGTTCACTTAGTGATGGATATGTTGCAAGTTTGTATTACAAAAACTTTCGTCCCCTAATCAATTAAATTACTAGGTCATAAATATAATTAATTTGGTTTTATTATTTTAGTTTTATTTAATCGTGGAAAATCACCTACGAATATTACATTAAATTTTAAGGATCATTGTCGTCTTACAGGTAATATTATGATTCGGGATCTTGTGAAACAAACGAATATTAGAAATTGTACTACTGATAGGTACGTTCACTTATTTTATAAATAATTCGATTAAATTTTTTTTAAATTAGTGATTACACTAATTGAATAAATAATTCTTCTTTTAAATAAAACAATTACTAGTTATACTGCTGAAAATATTCCAAGTCATGGTATAGCATTTTTAAAACTTATCGGTGGAAATGTTGTTAATGACACTTCTCCATGCCTTTATGATCAATAACTTAAATAGCAAATAATATAATTTTATAAGTAGATTATTAATTATTTTAGATTAGTTTATTTAGTATAGACTTAATAGTATTGATCGAAGAGTTTAAATAGTTTTCTTGGTAATCGTTTTTCCAATACTTAATTCTTAAGTTAATTGTAAGTCAGGCAAACCATAACTTCAAATTATCTTTCGGTAAAATGACCTAACGCTATAATTCATAAAAATGAGGTTATTATTTTAATAATTTAATAGAAGCGTACTATATTCTGAAATTTTTGATCAAACAATACTATCAAAGTAAATCAATCATGTACGTATTAAATCAAGAATAAAGTGATAATTGGTTATCTTGAACACTTTGATCGATAATAGTCATTATATTCAAAATAAGTAAAATTAAATAAATGAGAAAAATGAGAAGTTAGATTTCCTAAATACTTTGTTTGATAAATGCCATTAAATTCATAAATCGACGCAAATCAGAAATTAAACAAAAGGTAAATAACATCCTAAAGACTTTGATACATAATGATTGCTGTACTCGAATAAGAGAAAATTAAGAAGTGAATAGTTTATCATGACTAATAAATGATTGTTATGTAATTAGAGGCTATCACTACGACTAAGATACAATATCTTATGGTTAACCGAGATGAAAATGAAAATGACTACATGTAAGAACCCAAAATCAATTCAAAGAACTGAATTTTGAAAAATATTAGAATTAAAGCTCAGATTTATCATGATTAATTTTAATAATGCAAATTTTTTAATATACAATTGTAATTTTCTTTTAAGGGTTAAACGTATTACTGTTAAAGATGCTTGACGAAATTATTTTTGAATTGACGAAAGGTATCGTCAAATTACATACCTGACGAAACCTTGACGAT